TCTCTCTCTTCCCCTCTCTCTCTCTCTCTCTCTCTCTCTCTCTCTCTCTCTCTCTCTCTCTCTCTCTCTCTGTTTCCCTTGCGCCAGCAGCCACCCCTTTCGTTTTTACCCTTTTCACTCCTCGGGCGATCCTCTTTCTGCTCTCGTTTCTCTCCCTTCTCTCCCTCGACGTCTTTTCTGTTCACTCGCACCCCGCCGTTGTGTTCTTCGCCACTCTGCAACACTACCCCTCGAACGCAAGCCATCCCTCGCATCTGCCGCGACCCTCGTATCTCCCGCCACGGCTCAAAGTCGACATTTGCTTCTCACCCTACCGCGAAGCTCGCAGCCAATACCACTTTACCACTCCCTACTCGGCTAACTCGAATTTGTTGGCGATGTCCCAATTCTTGTAAGGACGATTACTTTTCTCGCCCCATCTGTCCGCGTCCGTCCGTCTCTCGTCCGTCCCCTTCTGGCAGTTTTGGGTTTTTCCTCTTTTGGTCATCGTTACTCGAACTTTCACTAAAGCCCTTTCTCGAAGAACTTCCTGAACCGGGATGCGTACACCGGAAATGTTTCGTAAAAAAGAACAGACCTTACACAGACTCGCGTGACTGCACGTTGTGCACCTGCGACTTATCGTTCATCGAGATTCTCGACTTAATCGGTGAGTTTCCAAAAACTGCCACGAATTTGCGAAATCGACGTAGATACTTGACGATCTCGCTTTGTTTGCCTATAAAAAGAGCTTTTCTCGTCCAAAGCAAAACACCTCGTGGCCTCGACTCTCATTAACGAGGCGTTACGTTCTTACAATTAATGGTATTAACGAACGGTCCTGCGTCTAGATGTTAGTTTCATGGAAAGCTAGCCTGGAATCAGCGTCGGCGGCGCAAGAGTCGAGGGGTGGGAAGGTTGGGACTCGTCGAAATTATACCGCCCTTATAATCCTCGGGATTATCGCGACGTCGTCCGATGACAGCGGCGATGGGTCGCTATTGCCGGGGTCGAGTCGAGTCGCTTCGTAGCGCGGCGCGTTCTGTCGGGCTCTCGCACAGTTTGGCGGATTCTACCGCGCGATCTTCATGGGAAATGAGATTTCGCAGTCGATATGCGGCAATCGAGAAAAATGGGCGGCTTGCAAAAAGCGCCGTCGAGCGCGCAAAAAGGAAAGCGCGGAAAAGAAAGGGCGGGATAAAGGCGAATCGGGCTGCCGCCGTCGTGACGGAGACGGCGGCGGGGGTGCAGAGCTAAAAACACATCGCGACGCGACCGCGCCGTCCAGCTGCGCGTTGCATTACGTTCTCGCGCCCTCTCTTCCCCGCGTTCATCCGTCGAGTTGTACGTGCGTGTACATACGTACGGCTGGCGTATCTGCCCGATAACGCTTATCGCTTAATTGAAAGGATCGTCCTTCGGCGCGGCGGCCTGGTCGCTGTTCCGCTCGATTAAGCGGCGATCTACGGCAATATGTCGCGGATGCGTAACGCCAAGCACGCGAGCGGGACCATCAGCATCACCATCCCTCCTGCGCGGTTCTAACGGGGTCACCGCGAATCGAGAGAAGAAAAGAGAGAGAGAGAGAGAGAGAGAGAGAGAGAGAGAGAGAGAGCCGGGAAGCAAAAGTCGGGGAAATTATAAATGGCCCGGGCGACACCGACACACACATACACGACAATGGGAAGAATCGCGAGAACGGAGGAGGGTGGAAGTCGCGAACTTCTGGAAATTGTGCACCGCCACGGGCGGAGATGAAGTGACGAGAGTTGGTCGTTCGTCGGGGAAGAGAGGTGGCTGTTTGTCCACGTTTGGACGATCACGCAATAGCCGTTGGGATAGTCACGCTCGATGGGAAGGAAGTGTTTGTGCGGATCGCAAATTGAGGAGGACAGAGAAAAATATTAATTCCCACACGTGTATATTGTCGTTCGGTTTTAATGATCGATCAGCTGCGCGAATCCACGAGCGCGGGTTCGCCAACTTCTCGCGGAATGAAATTTATTTTCGATTTCGAAATGGCTGAACTCGCGCGATCGTTCGGAGTTATTCTCAAAGAGAAAAAGCGTACTCAGAAACCATTGCGAATTACGTTCTTAACGCGATATCCTCTAAACGGGAATTTCGAGTCGGTGGTGGCGGCGGCGGTGGCGTTCTCCCGAAAAAAGCGCGAGTATCTCTTTGAAAGAATATTGCCGGCGTTGTTGCTGGCGTTGTTCGTCGATACGAGAGTAACTACCATTTCCCATCGCGGGTACGCCCGGCGCCCGATAAAAAATGTGCAGGCTGACCAATTGCATATAACTCACCCTGCCTTTCCAGTTCTTCCTGCCTTCATGCATATATACGTCTATCTATCCGAGCGCTCTGTCTTCTGCTCTCTCTCTCTCTCTCTCTCTCTCTCTCCCCCTCTCCCTCCCCCTTCTCTTTTTTCTTTTTTTTCTCTTTTTTCCTCGCCCTCCCCCTCATTCTCTTTTTTCTTCTTTCTCTCTTTTTCTCTTTCAGTACGTAACCCCTCTCGTTCCATCTCCCACGTGCTCTCTTTCGGCGGTTGGGGGTCGCTTTTCCAGCGTTCTCTCGTCCGTACACACGTGTCGGCGTGCGTGCGTGCGAGCGAGTGAGCGAACGAACGACGAACGAACGAACGAACGAACGAACGAACGAACGAACGAAGGAAGGATGAACGAACAAACGTACCAGCGAGCGCGTGTACACACTCGCACCCGCGCGCGCTTGCTCGCACGAACATCTACGCCGCGCGCATACACCTTTCTAGGGGTCGTGTATTCGAGTTCTTTTATTTTGCCCTGTGGAGGTAGCAGAGGGTTGAGTCGAGCGAGAGAGCGGCGAGAGCGCGAGGGTACGCCGGTGGGCTGGGGGCGATGACATCGATTTTTTACCCGTTGCTAATCTCAATGTTACCTCCACCTCCTCCTCTTCCTCCTCCTCCTCCTCTACCTCCACCACTTCCTCCTTCTCCACCTCCCGTTCGGTCATCTCCGTCCGCGTCCCTCTTCACCTCCCCCCGTCAACTCACTTCGTTCTCCCTCCTGCCGCTTCACCACCACCCTTCCTCGGCCCCCCCCTCCCCCTCATACCATCGCCA